CAAAAAAACGGCAAATCTTATGCCGTGATTTTTTGAGATGAGACAAAGACAGTAGCAGTTATGTTCTTACTAGTTCTCTCTCTCTTTTTTGTGTTTATATAGGATGTCAAGACTTAAATCTTAGGAGGCATATTTTACTCATTTAAATGAGCAAGAAATAATACGTCAATATTTTTTTGCTCAATTTATCATATGTATTCTAAGTTCGAATCTGTTTTTTTAGCGTCCATACATACAAAAGTGAAGTAGATGTTTTCAGAAGTCTGTCGTATTGTATACAATACATAAACATATATATGTACCTTTTATTTACTCATTACTCAGCTGAAATAAATAATAATTATATGACTCAGTTCCTGACTGAAAACATGACAAATAATATGATTCATCATTGTGTGTGGTTCACATAGGTGGTTCTCTAATGATTTTGGCACACAAACATCACGGAAATATTTATTTACATAAATATGTATGCTCAGTCTTACCAAATAATTATTTGTTTTAAATAATTATAATTGTAAGACAGTATCATCAAATTGAATATTTTTAAAACAATATTATTATAATGTATTTAACAGGGATACATATATCAAACATGATATTTATTAATCATTTGTAAATAGTTAAATTTTTTTTAGCGTAAATAACATTCTTTTATATGTATGTATATACATATATATGTATATACATACATATATATATATTCATGTGAATGTATGAATACATGTCCGAATTGATTATATAGGAATGAATGCAATTATACTGAATTTAATTTAAATGGTATTTGAAGAATTATTTATAGATATTAATACTCTATTATAACACGCGTTTTCCTGTAATTTTATATGATGTTAGTAACATGAGTCCATTAGAAAGATTGTGTTAAATTGCCTTTTCATATTAGGAGTAACTTGAGTCCTCATTTTTAATTGTAGCAAATAGGCTAATCTAGATAATGAAAAAAACACAGCAAAGCCTTTGAAGAGAGAGGAAGTACAAATCGTACTTTCATCCATCCAGAGGATAAGTCCACCAACGTCGGTGTCTGGCGTTATTGGTCAATTGATGTTATTGTCAAAGGTGATGAATTTCAAGAAAAAATCATTTGGCAGATTGTCATCAACTATTGCCAGCTAAGTAAATTAGGCATAGAGAGGTAAACAACTCCTATACTAATTATTAAGTAGCTCCATTAAATGTACAAATAATTAAAATTTATTTTTATTATGTTAGTGCCACTATGTTGCACTATTTATCTTGTTCTGGTTATTAATTGTATTTAACTAAGAAGGGCAAAGTGTCTTCCGCGCCTCTTTGTTCTTCTCACAATCACTAGCGCACGCATTTTCATTATATTTTAATACATAGCTTTTTGTTCATATGCTCTATAATTCTTAATTAAGGGATTTTACTTTCCAAATTTATATTTCTTCCGACTCAACAAAAGTGGTTCTTTCTAGCAGAACTGTGCAATCAACAGAAAAATATATGGTTTTTTTTTTTACGAAATAATTACGTTTTATTTGTACATCTGATCATCCAAGGAACATACTTCTCTTTTCAGAGACACTTTTACATTTATACATGTGAAAACTATTAATTATACGAGGGCTCAAGTTACTTTTAGGATAAATTTTCAGCTGAAACACAATTTTTCTAGAGAGGTTTAGTCATTCATCTTGGCAGCAAACATACGGAATGCGTAGTAAATATTATATATTTAAAACTATTGATGTCCATTGTGTCTATTGTTTATAATGTCTACAGGAATATATATTTTTTGTTTACATATGTAACACCTACATAATTCTGTCTGGTGGCTGCCCTACCAACTCTAACACATTGTCGAATACGTTCACATTAATATGTCATTTTTATGTTGACGTTTTTCTTGGAATGGAGCAGTTTGTGAAAGTGGCAATGATCTTTTTCTAATTACAGTAGCCCCGGACGCAATTCATCATCACATCAAGACTTGTAGAACAAACATGAAGAATATGCATTTTGTGGCCCCAGAATATGGAAGTAAGTGCATTGTTTATGCATACATGGATTATATTTTAAAATATTTTTTAACTACTTGTTATTTCTTTTAAGATTCCGTTACACCTGCCATTGATATTTATTCGTTCGGGATGTGTGCTTTGGAGATGGCTGCGTTGGAAATTCAGGGAAACGGTGATACGGGTACAATTGTTACCGAAGAGAACATCCAGAAGACAATAGAATCTTTAGATGATGTTCAACAAAAAGATTTTATTCGTAAATGTCTTCAGGTGGACCCGCTTAGTAGACCGAGTGCGAGAGAGCTGCTATTTCATCACGTTCTGTTCGAAGTACATTCTCTCAAGCTGCTTGCAGCACACGCCTTGGTCAACTCAGCTAGTAAGTTGAAGCAAATGTATAATTTATATGCTATTTAATTTTTATTTTAGAATAGCTGGGATAATTAAAGATACTTATAATGATTACGATTATAAATAACACATAACGTTGAAATTTTTTATAGCTAACATTTCGGAAACAATCACAGACGAAGTGTTACAAAGGCTATATGGACCAGATACTGTAGTCGCCGAAATAAAGTATCAAGGCATACCTCCGCAACAAATTCGTTTAAGTGATATTCCTGTTACGGAGAAATTAGAAAAATTTGTTGAAGATGTAAAGTGAGTATCTCAGTCGTGAGATACATCGACCTGGATTTTGTGTCTTATGTCGGATAAATTGGTAACCAGAGTGATTTTACATTGCCAGGTACGGAATATATCCATTGACTGCATTTATGGCGAAATTACCTCCGCCTGTCCGACCGAGGGCGATATCGCCCGAAGTGACAGAATCGGTTAAATCGGTTACACCCGAGCCCGTGGACGTGGAGTCTCGAAGAGTAGTTAATATGATGTGTAATGTTAAGCCTAGAGAAGATAGTAGTGAATTACTTGTGAGTGGTCCATAGAACATTTTAGCGAGATAACCTATGAAGTAATCGGTATATTATTAAATCGGTATATTATTTTATTCAGATGACAATATTGTTGCGAATGGATGACAAAATGAATAGGCAATTGACGTGTCCTGTGAGCCAAATGGACACCTCAATGCTTCTCGCACAGGAACTTGTACATTTTGGATTTATTAATGAGGTAAATTATCTCGCTCATATCGCCAATGAGCAATCCCGTTTTGCGAAAGCTTAGTTTGCTTTAGCAAGATGCTTACTTATGTTGCAGAACGATCGTGATAAAATAGCCAATTTAATTGAAGAGGCATTGAGGAGATACTTCAACAAGCAAATAGTGATGCCAGGAATGGTATCATTAACTAATCTTCCTACTCAAACTACTTTATTGCTGCCTGGTTCGGAATTTCCATGTCTGCAACACTTTGACAATTCCGTGTGCAACGCCACAACATCCAATAGTGATAATGCAACTAACCTGCTGCCAAAAACCTCAGGTATACCTGTGTCAAGTAACAAAACGAGTAAACTTCATGATGATGCAGAACCGCCGACAATCAGCGAGAGCGGTAGTTAACCATCCAGGACGTCTGATAACTCAGTTCACTGTGCCACTTTGCACGCTTTATGTATAGACTGGCTATGTATTTTTATATTTAAGTAAACAGAATGAAGAGGAATGGAAGTAAAAATGGGAGGGTGCCGTGGCTACACCTCTAAGCTGAATATGACTGCAAATTAGGAACTGCTTAGTATATTTACTTTCGTATTTAGGCTCTTGAAGTAATACTTCCGTTCAAATTTCGTTGGTCCTCTATATTCTATAGAGTTTTTACGTTATACAGGTCTTACCTGTTATATCATTATATAGGTATGCGACAAAGAATGTATAAATCTAATGTAAAAAGACCAAATACTTGTGATTGTATAATTAAGAGGATAGTTAGAGGTCTGCTGGATATTGATTCATATTTATACGAAGCTACGTACGATTTGATACTTACCTGTCGTAATCTACCTATCGGGATACAGTTACGAAAGTTCGTTATGTATCATGTTTCTCATAACATCTCTTAGAATTACAAAACACGAAAATTAATACGCCGAAATTGTATATCATGCTTTTCATCATGACAACATATACCATAAAATTTATTTTGTGCGTGCAAATCAACAAGAATAATTCAATTATGCGTAAGAAAAAAAGACTATCTCTTCATTGTACAGCTATTATAAAATCCATAATATTTAAATATTGTATGGATTCTTAATTTTTTTTCTTTCGGACAAAACTTTCGATCTCTTAACACATTTATTATTTTTGTCAAAATACTCAGTCTATTGTAAAGTCTGTAAAAAAAAAGTGAGCGAATATAAATATTCGCGAGAGAAAGTATAGTAGCGTGCTTGTTCATTTTACTTTTAGTTCTGTAGGCAAGATTGTAAGAGATGTAATACTGGCTCAATAGCGTAATTTGGTAGTAATCGGATAAAGCCACGGCCCTGCTCTATACTTGGGTATTATTGATGTGATTAAACCAAGATTAAATCTCGATAAAATTAGCCGAAAATCCTTGTAAATATTTTATATTTTTAAGAAAAATCTGTTAAAACACAGAAAACTAGTCATATAGGTATATTCGAGTGCTAACAGACTAACACAGATCTTATTACGTCTTTTGCATTTATAACACGTGCTTGGCCAAGAGAAATACCGCTCCAATTTCATACCTCGGTCGAATCAATTTCAGTGAAGCATTTCTCATTAAGTAAACGACTAACTCTACTAGAGGTACCTATTACCTACAACATAAACTTCGATCTTAAGTATGTAAGTAGATTATCAAACTAAATTGAATGTGTATAGCTTTATAATACAAATTATAAACGACGAAAAAAAGCGCGACGACTGACTCGTGGATATTATGAAAGGGCTGTACGATGACAGTGATAAATAAATACTTTAACTCGGAAACGCTCAATTGAATACTCTCACCTTCTGAAAATCTATACAATAATTATACATAAATCGAATTTTTACGCAGTACATTTTATTCTTTAGTATTCTATTTATTTATTATGAGGGACAATAAAGTCTCCTCATGATATACAATGGACGTGAATATAAATGTTTATAATAGAGCATGAAAATTTCGAGATTATATTTAAAGTAAGTTCTGATGGATGGAGTGCGATGATGATCACTTGTCGCATCGAATTTTCTTTTACGACTATCGCCGATTCGTGATCAACGATTAATTACAATTAGCGTTCTGGTGCAGAATATACGAGAATATAAGAAATAAGAAGGGATTATATGTATATGTACTTTAGACTTTGGTTTGCAGCTCCCAATACGTTCATCGCGTTATCACGTTGACTTCCCATTACATAGCAAAAACACAATATTGATGAATATTATCCTAAATAAACTACGATACACGAAATGACCTGCGATTCACTTATTTATGTGGAAATTTCTGGTGAAATCCGTTTTGTACAAATTTAACAATTTATATTTGCACTTTTTACGTGTATACTTTTTCACGATCTTGGCAGATTTCAAGCTCCTTCTTTGGCGTGCGTGCGATTAAGCAGATAGTCAAGATCGTGAGAGATACGATCTAGCATACCGCTGGTTGCATTGTCGCAGCCACCTGTCGTTACCACGATCTCCGGCGTCTTCTCCTCGCCGTCAGGCTGCTTGCGCTCACTCGTGTTGGCGATGTCCGGCATGGCGCTCACCACGTGTTCCCGGCTCTTCAGTTCCACGCTTGTACGCGATGACAGTTCGACGTCACTTTTCACAGCCAACGTGACGTCTGGCATCGCGCCTAATCGCGACTCCACATCGGCACTGCAGAGGACCTTGGCCGAGGACTCGGGGGACACGCTCGCCGTTGGCAGGAAGGTCTTACCGTCGCCACGATACTTGCCCGATACGTCGCCACGGAAGCTGTTGCGCTCATTAACACCGTAGGCCACTACATCATTGGCACAGCTACGTGCGGAGAACGCCGAGTCGACGAACACCTCCTGATACTTTCGCGGACTCGTATTGTAGTTCTCAAGATCGATATTATCTGAATGATCTATTCGGATCTCAGGCAGGAATCTAGTCGCGGGGACGGAGGACTTGGCGTAGGCAGATGAAGACTCAGACACAAATTCACGCATATCTATGCTACCCGCGGCGATGCCTCGTGCCTCTCTATACGGCTCGCCGGCAATTGAAGACGATGTCGGGGGAGTAGCTGAATCGTTTTCCACCTCAGCATCAGCTTTCGAGCACACTAATGAATAATATGAATAGTATTAGTATTTTGTAAATCAAGTTTTGGCGTTTTTTTTTTTACAATAATTTATCACAAAATTTGCTTTTGATGTCATAATGCACGTCAATAAGTTCACATCACGATACCTTTAATGGGTTCAGATGTGTATTCATCGTTCACATTGCGACGTTTCCATCTGATTCTTCGCAACATTGGTCCGATAATTGCATTCTCGCCATTAACGATGTATACGATTATTATACTGAAGCCCTGCGCATCAATAATTAGCGAATAATTTTAATATATTTATTATTATTATTTAACCAATATAAGTATTCTTTGTGAAGAAACTTACCAGAGCGAAAGATAAGGACGCAAATACGTAGTGAAAAATTACAGATGATGAATTTATGTAGAAAATAGAGGATGCCTCCATAGCAATGATGCCGCATATGACGATAGCCGCGCGGTGCAATATTCGTATTCTGCAACGGAAAAAAGATTGAATGACTTGTAAAAAAAGTCGTCAAATTTTACGAAATATTCTGATGCATCTATGTACCTTGTTTCTATAGCTTCTCTCTTCATCACATTCTCCTCCACTAATGTGTGAACTTTGTGGAGCACCCCCATATACAGTAGTATGAATACTAAAAACATCATCGTGGCGCAGCTGACAAATATGTTATAGACACCACTGCCATATATGAGCCACCAGGATTCGTGTCTCCATCCCGTACTCTTATGCGTTAATTCAGTTGCAAATACAGCTAAGATTGGAACACCTAAGAAACAGCGATTAAAAGTGATGCTTGACGATACGCGTCTCAAAAGCTCTGGGTTTAAAGGTCATACCAGTTATTACAGCGATCACTGTAGGCTGAAGATGTTGGCTCGGTCGAATTTGCGTGAGCTCGGCATATACTATTAGAGCCTCGGAAATAGGCGCAGACATGCCCACGAGGAGGAATGCCTCTAATCCTATCGCCACGAGCGAGTAAGATGACTGAAACAGGGAGAAATCAGTGAGGATATTAAATTGGATTAGATTATAATTTATAAGATTCTCAAATATGCAGTTATATTCAAAACGAAGTGTTTGTATTAAGTTCAAGATTCATATAACAATTTTATAATTTATATAAGATTTACTTCATGATAGAACATCATATTTTAAATAGACTTAAATTATAGAGTTAATGTTCTAAATTTTTTTTATAAACGAAGACATGATTACCTCTGGAAGATTAGTATGGACGGCGTAAATGAAGATAGCCATTGCACCTATTAGTGCGCCGCAACATTGGAGTTTTAGAAAATTCAGCCAGCTTTTGTGTTTTCTCCAAAAAGTACCTAGTATCAGAGCAGATAACAAGCACTGAACAAGGCAACTGCTGCATCCGAATATTATAATGAACGTGGTTTGTTCTGTTTTCGCCAGTACTACCTATAACGTTCAAGAAATTGATAAATAACGATAAAATGTAGTTCTTTGTTCATCATATGGAAAATTTTGTGTAGATTACATAATGAACTCCATCATACATAAGAATTCTAGGATATGCATTCTATAAGTGATAGAATAACACGAAATGTTAAAACGGTAGCTTTTCTTAAATGAAGCTATATTTACTTTTACTGCGTGAGTTGTCAAGAAAACAGCTATTGTCCCCGTAGTAGGGCACAAACAATGCGTTACTACATCGCCGGATACTGTGTTTGCTATGCAAGTATCGAGATCCCACGATCCAGTGTTATCTATTAGGCCGCATGACGTATTCCAAGAACTTGTCTGATTTTGTAAATGCCGGATTTGCAGATCAACCCATATCTTGTTATATTTATCGATACCAAAAGTGGGAACTGCGACGGCAATCGCTCGAGAATTAATGCGAAACTCTAGATCCGTGCCATCACTATGATGATAAAATTATTATATTTAAATTTGAATATTTTTTAATAAATTGAAAAAATTAATCTTAAAATTAAGAAAATTTAATTTAATTTTAATCTTCAATTAATTTAATTTTCTCTTTATATATATATAATATATATAATTTTTTTATTTATTAATTTTGGTTTTATTAACTTAAATAAATTTTCGAATTCATAAAAATAGGTAAGCTTATTCTTGCCTTTTGTTCGATTTTTTTCAAAATAAATCAACTTACTCGAGTTCCTTAATATATGCTGTTGGTATAAAGCGCGACATGTTTTTGTATACGATAACGATTCCAGTAAATGTGTTATTAGACTTTATATTACGCTGCTTCTTTTTCCATAATCGTATAGCTACTTTATCTTCGTACCAATCAGGATATCTGCCACAAATAAATAATTTATATAAAAATTTATATAAAAATGTGGAAGCTAGTTTGAACATAATTTTAAACGTATATAAATAAGTATATAAATAAGTAAAAGGATATATTATTTTGGAAGGAGATCTCTAAAAAGAGAAAATCTATTATGAATAATAGATATTAATAAAAATAATTACATATAATCGGCCGAAGGTATTTGAAGAGAATGCGTTATACTGTCTCCACTCTGAGATTGTAGTTGCTGAATATCTATAACCATAGATGATAGAGATAGATGTTTATGCATATCTTTCAGCTGTTTGGACCAGTGAATTAAATTGCGTTGCGTGAGTTGAAGTAACACTGATAGTTTCTAAAAACAGATGATTTGGAAGTTTGTAATTTTGTTATAAGTAGGGGAAAGGAGAGTTTTGGATATGAAACAGATTTAAGTAAATACTTTTTGTAAATTCTCTGGATGAACAACTGTTATTTTTTTTAACAAGACTGTATTACGAAATAACGAGGTACTCTGCAGCCAGGACAATTTTTAAAATAACAGCTTTATGTTTAAAATTAAGCAAAAAAAAACATTGTTATTTGAATCTTACTGAAAATTAAACTTTTTTCTTACATTATATTTACATTGTCTTTACCTCTTGACTCAAGATCGAATATTCATCGCTCAATATGCGATTTATTATGTGACTCAAAGCCTCCGCAGAGTTGTATGCATCCTGTGGATCGATATTGTGCTGATATCGTTCGATTTCAGACAACATACTTATTATACGATCGCCTTCGCCAGGATAAAGCGGTAATGCACGTTTGCGCAAGAGCTCCCAAAAGGCGAGGATCGTATCCGAACTCATGATTTTTTGATAACCCAATGTCAGACTTCGAAACTGCAAATTAGATCGATTTTGCAACTTATTACTTTGATAATAAATTTGGATCTTTAATCAAGTGTAGCAAATCAAACTAGTCAACTTTGATCGTGAATTAAAATGCGAACATTTTTACTAATTTCCTTTTATTTTATATCAAAACATATAAACTACTTTTAAATTTCTATCACGTATTCAATAATAAATGTTAAAACCTAATTAATAATCAAATATTACAAAATATTGCAACGGCCTTTTAATTCTTACGTACATTCTCTAATTTGTTTTATCACAATTTATGTATTTATTTTAAAGATGTATTTCATACATTTTATATTATTTTATTAAAAACATCAAGTTATTTTAATTGATTCTAAATAAGTTTCTTACGAGACAAATCAATTATAAAGTATAAAAAGAATAAAATACTCACATTGTTATATGGTAAAATCAACGGCTCATATAAGCAGGATGAGAAATCCGGTATTTGCCATTCGGGTGTAGTAGCGTCTTTCATCGAGCAGAGCCTGGACACTCGTCGACCTACGAAATATCGGGGGCATTCTAGCAGCGCCTCTGATCCTGGTGCAGTGTCTGGCCATTGCAAACCCCAGGACTGCTCTTTAAAGCATATCGGTATCAGAGTTCGATTCATGACTTCAACTCGCACGGACATAGACTTATGCGCTACATTGCAGGTGTAAATCGCCGATTTCTAAAATGCCAAACCTACTTTGTATTAAATAGATCTATCAAATATACCCACTAATATTCTTTAATATATTTTTTAATTTTATCTAAAAGTGTTTCAAATAAAATCTCCCTCTAAAAATAAAAATGGGCGCGTATAAAAAAATATATGTCCTTCATTTTGATCTAGACAACAATATATTAAAGGGTGAGCACAAAATCGAATGGGGACACTTTCATGATGTTCCTTGTAAGGTAATTTTAATTTTAATTTAAAAAAAGAGACTATGTTATTCTACATTGAACTCCAATATTTAATTGAATAAAGAAATCAATGTACATGGCGCTTGTACCTGAGTATTAGTGATCTTCAGAATGCTACCAGCTGGATACAGATCCTCCCAAACTGCTCGACCGGGTTCTAATTTGAGCAAGGCGCGATTTTTCGTCCAACCGAAGCCGATCCCGATGTTACGCATGTTGGGAGTCATACATGTTAGTTGTATATCGTTGCCCTGCGAAAAAACGTCTGGCAATATTAATACATGTCTTTTTGTTTTAAATTTTAATTATTTGTAATGAACGAATCTATTTGCGGTTTACTTTCTCTATAGAGGCGCTCATCGGCACCACCTTCACGTCCGGCTCATCCCTGACCTCGATGTAGATACTTTTGCATTGCTGCACACCCCAGTCAACTACCTGACACGTGTACTGACCGGCATCGAGCAGGTTCGCCTTCTCGATCGTCAATATTGATGTGTATAAATCCGATCCATCATTCGGCAAATGATTAATCCAAATTTCTCTAAAATAGCAAAGCGAATGAGTAACTTAAACAGCACACAATATTTAAAAAACACTTTATAAACACTTTATAAACATTTAATATTTTTACATTAAATAAATATTTTAAAAATATTTTTTTAATATTGTGTGTGCTGATTGATAAGCTGAGAAAACCTTACTTCCTTGTAAAGAATGAAATACATACAAATTATATATTTTAACATTGTTACTTTAATTAATTGTTGCTTTACGATATTGTAATGTAAACTCCGAAATGTCGACAGTTCGGTTACCTGATAGCTTTACTCGTGTTCACCAACATGCCATCTTTGTACCAAGTGAAACTTATGCTGTAACTTCCTTGAGCAGCGCACGACAAGACGATTTGTTCTCCCAAGTGAACCTCATCGTTCACTTGATTAATACGCAGACTCTAAAACGCGATAATTTTTAGAATTTTTTAAATTATGTAGCAATTAATCGCATTCTCAAAAATGTTAATTTTATTATCTAAATTTTAACTATTTTAATTCCAATTCAAATATCCTTTTTTTTTCAGAAAAATTAGAGAGGCAGAGAATGCCTTTAAATTTTAATTGTATTGTATGTATTATACGTATATATTTTATGTATACCATTTTGTTTTGCTTTTGCAATAATATTCAAATACGCGATGTTACATCATACATTTATGTAAATTGCAATAAATTACCTGTAACTTAAGCGCGGGTTTTTGCTGAAAGGTAAAGTGTGTAGATTCCAATGCAATTTCACTGAGACGTCGACGTTGTACGAGTCGATTGAGAGATTCGCGGATTTTATCTCCATCGTCGGAATTCCCGAAAAAATGAAAAGTAACTTCGGCCGTTGGTCTGTTAAAGGAAACAGTAAAACAGTGACTGAGCATACAAAAGATATTCTTCGCGCGCGCTTAGAGTATATTTTTTTAAATTACTTCTCAAAGTAAAATATATCTTAATTTATTAGGAAGAAAGAGGGAGAGAATAATTGATCCAAAATATTTATACTCATTTGAGATCGCAATCAGTTTTATATTTTACGTATAACTGTACGTTTTATCCTTGAATGTGTACCTACTCACGTCACGTTCAGGATTTTTAATTCCTCCATGGAAGTGATATTGGAATTCCTCAAGTATTTTGCAAGCTATGAGAAAAGTTTTAATGGATTAAGCACGTTATTACCGATTTCGTATAAATAGAGATAGAATAAGATGCGTAAAGGATAGGTACAGGAAATAAAAGAGAGCTTTGTATTTTTCTTATATCATATAATATTATCAAACGATTATATTATACATTTACATTGTTCTTCGACACACCTCAACTGTCGATGTTCGTAAAATATAACAAAGATTAATTCGTTTTCACGACAAATGTATACAATTGATAGATATGCATGTTACATACGCTAATTAATATTTCATATCCTACAATCATTGAGTAAGTGATTCCGAAAGAAACACCATTCGATCGACCATACAATAATCTTTGTTTTAACGATAACAGATCTATTCTCCTCACTTGCCTCCCTCCCCCCTTTTCACTCTCTGCATTTAAATAGAAATAAGTACTCGTATTTTGGAGGAAGAGGACAGAGAAGAATTCAAAGTACAGAAAGTGTTTCCAAACAGCTAAAATATAGCGAGAACGATTGAATATATCTCGCTTATACATATTTCGATATAAAATGTCGATTATCAGCAGCCTCGCTGGTGAGACACACAGGACACATTGCTTGCCGAGTTAAAACTCCCTTCTTCATCCTTTGCGTGAAGAATCTCCCCGACGCAGGGACCTCAGCAAAATACTTCGGCTTGTGAAAGACCGGCATGAAATCTGGTCCTTTAGTTTCAGCTCTCAAGGACGAGTCTTTGTACTTCACTTCGGCAGCTTTGGAAAATATGACTTGTCGCCGCTTATCAGGACGCACGACAGATCCGTGCTTCCTGGACACAAGTGCAGTCGTATCGTCTCCTGGGACACGCTCAACACTTCGATTCCAATCTCCCGGCAATAAGCCTCGAGTAGCGTCATCTGAAGGTGGCTGGCCGCGTCCATCTCAATGTCGAAGGGCACCAGACAAATGCTTCCCCGGCTGTTGCATCCTCTGGAGGCCAGCTCTCGAAGGGTCGGCAGCATGCCGCACGCGACGGTTTTAGACGTACTGTAGCGAGACGCCTCGCACCACGATGATTTCCCGCTGTAAGTCATCCTCGATCAATCATTTGCGCATCGGTTTATTACTTATTATGTAAGCCGGCGCGACAGTGTAGAGCAATACTTGGAATTGCCACAACGAGTTTCATGAATCTATGACGTTAATTTGTATACGCGCTTATACGTGGAAGACGTAAAGCATTCCAAGACATTCGTAACTTTTAAATTACTTCGGCAATCGCTAAGATAATTTTTATGAATTCTTTAAGTTTTAGATAACATCAGATAGTAACTTCTGCAAAGTCAAAAGATAAGAAATCTACTCCTTTTAAGAATCATATCTCCGATTAAATAATTTCTGCGAAATCAAAGATACGGAAATGTGCAAGTTAGGATTTATATTGCACAATGTGAAACCAACAGATTTCTCATCAGAACAAATAAAGATCGGAGATAAGTCAAAATTACCTCGTCGTGACTAAGCATTTCTTTATCACCGCTGAGAGAGAACCACGGCCGTCGTGCTACTCCTCATTCGAGTGTTGCGTGCAAGCCACGTGGAAATCTCATGCAATATCTTTTTTTGTATAATAATAACTACCTGTCGGTCATTGTGGTCTGTGCATGATAGGACTGCGGTTCCTGGCAACGAGTCATATCGGTCGGTATCTCTGATGCTTGCTCGTTTGGCGGTTTAATCCTCAATGCGCCTTTCTTGCACACTTCACTGAACGTAAGAATCTTCGTGGACTCAGTAAAGTTCGTCGAATGAATTTTCAGCGTTGTTTTTACAGCTGAGCTCTCGCCAACCACTGAATCACTCCTTGCGATTTCCTTCCCTTTTTCCGCTTTCACTAAAATTCCTTCTGACGCAAACTCGTGCAACACTCGCGTAACGTTCTCGTAGAAGAGCTCTCGTGATTCCTTTCCGTTCTGACTACGTATGACCTGGCAAGGGGTGGTGGCACGGCTTTTATAGAGACCGTCCTCCCGCTACCGGCGCTTACGCCTCTACCTCGTCACCGTCGTCCGGGCCGTCCCCTCTACGGTTTCACGGATATTCCGTCGCGCCGGTCGCTCGGGTATGTACATAACGGAGCTTTTTATCGATATACACACCCGCGATGAGATACCGGGAAATCCGAGGAAAAATGTCCGATAAAGAAACGTTAATCGAGTTAGATCCGCTGTATCGAAATTTCTCGGAGAGAGTAGAATAACATTGCTTTCGTATCCTAAAACATAAGCTCTCTGAGAACAGAAAAAAGGAATTAAGGGAATTAATAAAAAAAGAAAATAATAAAAACGAATAATAATATTAGACAAATTGATAAATTAATAATAAATTGTAAAATTTTTTTATATGAATATTACGGATAGGAAAAATATATATATATAACATACGCAGATATTAAGACGGAATATTAAAAATAAAAATTTGATTGAACAAAGAAAGAATAATTTTATTTGGCAAGAAATTCCGAGATAATTAACTATGGTAAATATCAGTAATGTCACACAATGTTGACATGGAATGTGCTGATTCGTAGAGTCATATGCATGATTCATTTTAAAGCTACTGGAATGTCATATTATTTACATACAGATCGATAAATAATTATGAATGTAGTTTAAGTTCTTTACACATGTTTGTGTATGTTTTAAGCGGTTCGTCGAAACATCGGTTGAACCTAAGGTCAAGGTAAAATTATCAGAAACATAAGCTTTCGTGTTTTCGTATTTTTCTACATAATTATTATGCTTCGATTATAAGTAAGAAATTATATAAATTTAGTAAACATAAAAACATAGATAGTTAAATCTAAATTTCCCGTTCTACTTAATATTTATTGCGGCTCGGAGTTCTCGAAACTTGCAACATTAATGCCGGTATAAAGAATAATCGAAATAAAACAGAACCCACTCACTGATTGTTATTTCTTTTCCTCATATTAAGAACTGAAAAGTTAATGCTTTTTTACTTCACAGTTTTAATTATTAATATTTGTAATGAAAAAAATCAGTGATTTCGGTTCAACAAGCCATAAATATGTATTAATGATGTATCATTTTATATGTATCAATGAAAAGTTCCAGTAGTTCAAGCAGATTTAAGTGATTATACTTATTGATTATACTTCGCGTTAAACTTTTAATAGGATGAAAATTTCAACGGAATCTACCGAGAACCAGTTGTGTTAGAAAACATAATTACTTAGTAGAAGAGCAAACAATTTCCATCGACGACGAGAAACAGCGTTCAGGTCGAGGTGACGCTTTACATCATTTATATTATCTAACGATCTCATCGTTACGTCCTTCTTCGATCTTTGACACGTGTGTTGTTCATGTGTAAATTGTCATGACACCGTGCCTAACGAAGTTCATCGAGAGAATTGAAAAGTTCACTGCAAGAGCAACCAAAGTCTGAAAATACAGGACACTTTTAATACACTTTCGAAATTTAATTGTTAAAATAATTGCGAATTACTTTGTGTATGCTTGAAAAAGAATTATAAGCGTGACTTGTGAAAACTCGTATGTTTTGCATCAGAAACGTATCTAATATCAATATCTTGTTTCATCATCCGCAAGCACACCTGACTAGAAACAGCCACGTTGACCGGACCGTTGCGATTATTTCGGTCAATAAACTTCATTTCGATAGACTTGGATAGACTCACCAAGCGTACTACTCTCAATCGATTATATGCATTATATTAATATAGTATATATACATGTATATTTTGTGAAGATGATGCAGGTCATGCTTTGTTCCGTCACATGTTTCATCATCCATTTAATTTTAACGATAACGAAGGATTAATAAAATCCATCGGGAAACTTTCTGATAAATATATCACATGGCGCTATTAACTTTGGTGACGCAAAATCCCACATTGTCGCCTAAAAAATTATATATAACATAATTCAGAATAAAATAAAACTTTCAAATAGTAAAGTTATAAAAGTATAAAATAATAATAGTAGTAGTGCGGTATATTAAAATTTCTAAAAAGATTATCACGTAAATAACTATTGTTATATACGAGAGTTATTTACGTGATTATCTTTTAAGTCTATTATAAAAGAACATATTACTAATGTAATAACTTTAAAAACGTTTATCATTAAGCACTTAAAAAATAAACACGAACAATAAAATTATAACAAGATGTTGATATAAGAAACAATGGAAGGTACATATGGTAATCAAACACTGAATGTAGTTCTATTATACAATAATAGTTCAGAGAAATGGTTATATGAATTCTTGCGCTTGCTTCTATTTTGGTCGTATAAAGACCGCAGAAACCGAAGGTTTACTCTCGTAATCATATTTATTGCATCGGTCACCCTCTTTGTGTTAACGAGTATAATTGAGCCTGCTAATATTGCCACGAGAGAGAAAGAAAGAGAATGCATAATGCGTATTGCATAACAAACGCGCTTATTTCGGTGATATAACAAGATTATATCGAAGATTACATCAGTTCAGAGAATGTTTCCGTAATTAATTTGGAAAAATAATATTTACGTTAAAAGAAATTATTCTTAAAAGTTAATAAATTATCTTATAGTGTATAGTTTTATTATGTAAATATGATACTTCATCATTCTAGAATTAATATTTACAATAGAATGCAAAATATTTTTAAATTCTAAATTGTTTCCCCCCTGATTTTTATATTTTTATTCTGAGAAGACTATTTTTTTAAAAAAGACATTAAAATGGAATCATTCAAGGATTTTAAAGACATTTTTCGATTGAAATTATATAATTGGCCACAAAGTATTAAAATCCTTTCTATAAAATATTGTAAATCATAACTAAAATGGATTGCTAAAAATCTATTTTTTATTACGAAATGAAATGTCGGTAAATTAAAAACTTCACGAGTGTTTTTTTTTCATATCTCTAAATGATAAATACGATATATTTTATAAGTGAAAGATCGAGGGGAAATCCCAAAATATCTTGGACATATATTGTCGTTTTTTAGTAGATATCTTTCTTCAAATAAGATATATAACTTGAACTATTTTTGTAATTATAGGAACATTCTGTTATCGTTTACAGCTTTTCCTCATTGCTCCCGTAAGTTATGAATGCTGTTTGCGTAAATGCAAATTTCTCTGGGGAATAACTGCAACGTCGACACAACGGGCATACTTATTGAAGCATAATAAGAAGATATTCATGTTTAACACGAAATATTTTGAAAATACTTTACTGCAGAAGTTTTTGAAATAAATAACAGACAAAATATTTTCTGTATTCAAGATCCTCGAGTTAGACACAATTTAACATAGTTTATAATCTTATCGCGGACGTGAAGTGAATCGTATCATTATTGCGATATATTTCTTGAAAGATAATCACTTATCGGTGTCGTTATTGAAAAACGGTAGTAATCAATGATTGTCTTTCTTTTTCCAATCTTCGATTTTATAAAACTGATTTGATTTCTAGATATATATATTTTTAAACTTCCTCGGAAGTTATACATGATACATTATGAATGATCGATAATTTTTTTTCAGGTTTTGAAAATTATCAGAAGATGCATGATGATTATCGGGAGAAATATGTGTTTGAAGACGCTTTTTTTCACACGAAAATTTTCAAAGAGCACAAAGGAAGTATGGGAGAGATACCTGCGTAATAGCCATAGAACTTCGCTTAAAAGATTTATCCAGAATCATCACGACGTGACAAATGTGATTTTAAAAAACACTGAAATGACTTGCAATCATCTGACTCCGGAACTAAAATTATTCCTACTAACAGAGAATTGTCCTTTATATCACGAGCCATTCAATGATAAATATACAAATGGAATATTTGATTCCTTGACCAGAAATGTATTGCAAGATCCATTTTGGTCTATTTATTGGCCTGGAGGTCAAGTACTTGCGAGATTCATTTTGGAAGAAAAGGAAAGAATTTTAGGCAGCATGACACAAAATGTGAAAAAAGATACAATAAGAATACTGGATTTGGGTGCGGGATGCGGTGCTGTGGCGATAGCTGTGAAATTAATGAATGAAACGTGTAAGATTGTTGCAAATGACATCAGTAAAGGTTGGTATATACGATTATTAAATTAAATGAAAATATATAGCAATATATAATGATTATATTCTTGAATAAAACTAAAAAATTGATATAAAAAATGCCTTCTTAATATATGCAAATATAAATTTATTGTAAATATAACTCTATAATTAAATTTATAAATCTCTCCTTAAATACAAAATATAATCTTGGCTTAAGATTGCAATTAATAAGATGGTTTCTAGATTTCTCATCAATTATACTTTCAAAATAATTATCGTCTTGTTATGTTTGTTCAAGGAATGTAATTTGTTTTTTGTCATCTAAAAAAATGTATAAAAATAAAATAAAGTCGCAAATTTGAGATTTTCTGTACGTACAACACGCTCGACACGCTACATACGCTCGACGTTCAATTATAATTGCAATACCCTTGACTGATAACAACTGATAACACAATCGAGATAGATACATGTGAAAAAAATGGCATATGTGAGAATGTTCTAATAAGATAAATCCATTAATTTGAAAAAATGTGAAATGATCGAGATATCTAAGAGTCATCGATGTCGCAATTCCTGTGATATAACATATTTTAATTTTTCGAAATTCTATAGAATAAACTATCTTAACAATTTTGTAACAAATAATAAAAAGAAAAATAAATTACCTCTGGAAAATATTATATAATAAATAGATGTTTAATTGATTAACAATCGTACAAAACTGCACCAAAAGATTGTAACAACTCGTAAATCTTTCAAGATAAATATCATGTTACATAACGTAACAGTGTTCACTTGATATTGCGTTTGCTTGTTGTTTCCTCGAAATGACGAAAAATGTGTCGAATTTTCGAAGGGAACTTTCCTTTCGAATAAAGTTCTTCGAACATCAGAATTCGAAGAAGGAGAGAAAGAGGATCCGTGTTGTTCATGAAATGGTCCGTCTCAATTACAACTCAGGCGAAGACCAAGAGCGCGTGCCAATGGCGTAATGTTAAGTGGATTACTTTACAAAAACCTTGTTAACTAATAGACTTTAAACAAAGTGCTTCTTTGTTCTACAGCAGAAAAAAAGCAAGAAAAAAAAGTACAATAGAATGTCGAATTTGAACTTCCTGTATGTTTATATCAAATTTTTTTTAGTATCTATAAAGTTTTTATGAAATTTTCTTCTTTTCTAAGAAGTCTTTGAGGAATTCTCTCGCAACGGAGTTTCCCGAGTACCTTGTAACGATTGTGTCTCGCGAGTTACACCATTGAGGTGAGGAATGTCAGCAGCTAAGAGGAAAACGCGTGATTAAAGATTCAAAAGGAAGACTCAAAACTTTGACGTCACTCGTATCTGTGTGAGTTTATCTGCCGATGAATAGATGTGTGTACACAGTAACACAGATAATTGGTTTGAATCCATACGCTGATAAGACCGGATTCCATGGGCATGATTTAAAAAAAAATTCATCCGAATGTATCTATCCGTTTCGTCGTTCGCGTGCCTGTCGTGCCTTTGCACGATCAAAATAATGCTGATAGTAGCTGATACTAATTGTCGCATTTTATATTGCGCACAGTACGTAGAATTAATGCCCTCGACAGCATTTCTATCAATGATTGATTCGCACTGGAGATCCTCCCTTATGACGTATGTTTCTTCGCTGATTGAACTTCCGTAGATTATCGCGAAAGTCTGCTGACACATCGTCATTTCTTGACGCAACGCCACAATTATTGCGCATTAGAAAAAACATCTGCAAATCTGGCGATATTCTGATATTAGTATTTATCAATGGCATTGTTTCCATTTATTATATTCTTTCAGAGAGTTCAGAATTAAAATCAAAATTGCTAATTAAATAATAATTTGAAAAACTTATATAACTGATATTACTTTAAAAAAGTCACGTTGCGCCTTGAGAATCAAGTAGGTGAAGAAATTAGAATGTGGAACACAAAGTGGATTTCCCCCAGATTTTTACGTAGGTATAAAGAGGAAGGAATTACCTTTCGTGCGTCAGAGAAAGGCTGCCAATTCACAATATTGCATCTGTATAGCATGTTAACCGATAAATTTTACTTTCCAATAGATCAACGAAAATTTGAATGTTATTCGCTCATAGGAAATAGAATCGAAATAAATTTTCTAAAATCTATATTATAGAAATAAATTTTCAATATAATTATTGAGGAAGAGTGCAATACTGAGATTATTAATATAATATTGCACCAAAAACCATATTAATCTAATTTTAATATCACGAATACGTATTTTGGAATCCAATCTGATAAAAGGAAAATATAAATCACAGAGATCGTTGCATTAATAACATTTTCTACTAAATTTTCATTTACTTTAGATACGAAAAAAAAACTTCTAGTGGAAACTGGAAACGTATATCACGAATAGGTTTTCCGATATCACGTTCATTTCTCTTGAATTTTAAAATTCGCAGAATGTGATTATTTCGTTGCTGGTATAGTATTTTATAATATTAATTTGGCATGCTCTTTGGCTCGAATCGATAGGTGTCAAGGACATCATACATATACTACACAAAGAGGCGCGTGGTCTCCGTTCCAATGTCTATGAACAAATAAATTGACGCGAGCGACAAAAACTCAATGACATAATATGACGGATATTGGTATCAATGTCCAGGAATTTTACTTTCTCTTGATTGTCTATTCAGAGTACCGTTCAACCGCAATGATAAAGATAGTTCAATGATCTTATCTTTTTTTAAAATTATACAGGGTGTTTCCAAATTAAATGGCAAAACTTCGGGAGCGTGTAGAGGAGTAAAAAACTAAGAAAAAAAGTCCTATAGACATATGCTCGTTTTTGCTCCGTTTCAGAGAAATCGAAAAAAAATGTTTACATTTCTTGCCATATCTAGCACCGACATATTTGATTACATTTTCCACTTTCTGTTATGAATTTGTCAGTCGCTCTTTGAAAGCCTTTAACAGTAGATGAATTTTGTCTTTTGCAATATGCCGCGTACGTATTCTAATAGTGAATATGCTGATATGGTTTTTGTATACGGTTTCTGCAACGGTAATGCTTTAAAGGCGGTGCGAGAATATGCACGACGATTTCCAAACAGAAGAGTGCCAAACCGAAGAGTGTTTATGTTGACATTTAATAGATTGCGAGAGACTGGA